ACGTCTGAACCCTGCTCGGACTCCTCACTTCCCTGTGTGGGATCTGCCACTTGTGCTTACGTTCCTTTGCTCATCCCAGTTTGAGCCCTTGCAAAGCACTGACATTAAATGAATGTCCTTGAAGACTGTTTTTTTGTTGGCTATCGCGTCTGCGAAACGAGTCAGTGAGTTGCACGCGCTGTCTGTTAACGAATTGTGCTTGCGTTGGTTGCTGGATGATTCTGGGGTGGTTCTACGACCCAATCCTTCTTTTCTTCCGAAAGGCCTTCTTCCTCAGTTCATAAACCAGCACATTGAACTGGTCTCTTTTCAGACTTCTTCAGGGTCTGATTCAAGTACCCAACTATTGTGTCCTGTGCGTGCCTTGAAGTGCTATGTGATCTCTACTGCTCAATTTCGACAGTCAGACCAGTTATTTGTCTGCTATGGTGGTGTGAAGAAAGGTGCTCCAGTGTCGAAGCAGAGGTGGTCTCCACTATCCAGTTTGACAATTACACTGGCTTACAAGGCAGCAGAGGGCCACTGCCCTTGAGACTAACCTGCCATTCCGCTAGGGCCATCTCATCTTCATTGGCTGTTTTAAGAGGAGTTTCCTTGGCGGATATCTGTACTGCCGCTACCTGGTCTTCTCCATGCACGTTTGCCCAGTTTTATAAAGTCAATGTTGCTGCTCATCATGCCGTTAGTTCTGCGGTTCTTCAGGAGCGGCCTTAATTTTCATCAGGTGGGTGGCATTCCTCATGACTATGTTGGTATGTGTCATCCATAGTGTTTACACTGCCTCTGGCGGTCAGTAGGAATGAAACAGAACGCTAGTTACACATGTAACTGTGGTTCTGTGAATTCCGGATGACCGCCAGAGTTCTTGGTCACTCGGAATGCGCGAGAAAGGTGTACCGAGGCAGAGTGCTGAGCTACGGTGGCTTATAACCCCCCAGGGCTCAGCATACGTCACTACATGACTTTGTTGGTATATTCTCTCGACCTATCTAGCTGGCGCTGCAATAATCCATAGTTTACACTGCCTCTGGCGGTCATCCGGAATTCACAGAACCACAGTTACTTGCGAACTAGCGTTTTGAGCTCTGTGTGGGCTCAAAAATAGAAGTGAAAGAGAAAGGGAGATGGTACAGAGACAACTTTGTTGGTATATTCTCTTGACCTATCTAGCTGGCGCTGCAATAATCCATAGTTTACACTGCCTCTGGCGGTCATCCGGAATTCACAGAAACACAGTTACATGCGTAACTAGTGTTTCCATTTGTTAACCTTAGTTAACTGCATTAGTTAACATGAACTAACAATTAAAAGTACTTCTAAAGCATTTATTAATCTTAAATAATTTTATTTTTAACATACTAATAGATTATTAAGGATGCATTACATTGATTAACTAAAGTGACAGTGAAGATTGGAGTAATGGCTGCTGAAAATTCAGCCTTGCCATAACAGGAATAAATTGCATTTTAAGATATATTAAAATAGAAAACAGTTATTTTAAATTGTAATAATATTTTACAATATTCTTTTTTTACTGTATGTTTGTTCAGAAAAATGCAACTTTGGTGAGAATAAGAGACTTCTTTCAAAAACATAAAAAATCCTACCAACAACGGTAGTACATAGCGAGGGGTGAGAACCAGAAGGGCATAAGTGACATTTTGGGTGAAATGGAGATATATATAGCCTATATCAAATGGAAGCTCTTGATGAGCTCTTTCTACTGCCAAAAGGACATAAGTGAATAATCATTTTGGAGTTATTCATTAGAAACCAAAAGACTTGACACTGAAAATACCAAGCCAGTTGGAGCCAAAAGGGCATAAACAGCACTTTAGCCACTTTGGCATTGAGAAATGTATGGAGGGTAACGCCGGTTTCACACCACACGCGTAAGCAGTATTTTTTCGGCTCCCATGTTAACAGATTAGAGCATTCACACCGCACGCAGAGGCAGCGCGTAGCAGGAGCAGAGCAGAAGCGGCAGTGCCGCGATCGTTTCGGCGCCGAGTCTATTTTTGCTGCGCCGCTTATGCTGAATTTAAGCCACAGTGAATTTTTCTTGATCAAAATTGACCTGATTAACATGAAAAATAGCACATTTCACCATAAAATCATGCAAGTGAAGTGTTTCGCGTTTCACAATCACCATATGAAAAAAAAAACAAAATAGGGTACACCGTACAACAGGGCTAAAGGCACACCTGAAGAAAAAAAAGTGCTTTTCACTACGCCCATAATGTATGATTTCAGAAAATATATAATTTGTATTAAACGTTTATGGAGCAACAGATTTTGTGTGAAAATAAATCATACAAGTGGTTTTTGTTTAAAAATCGTATAAATGTATGAGGTAGCAAGGGGGGCCTTTTACCCCACATGGGGCAAAAAGCATGGGGCATAAGGCAGTCACACAGTATTGATACAAATACTTTAGATAAAATAAAGAATTAGTTTTTGTAAATATACTGTCATTAAAATATGTTAATATAAAAATACATTTTAAAATACAGAAACAAAATCATTTTAAAAAGTAAGGATTCTGAAAGCACTGAAGGAAATACCATAATAATTTTATATATATTTACAGTAGTAACAACAAATTATATTTTATTATATGATATTATTATTATCATGTTTTTAAATATGATGGTTTCATTATAAACATGGTGATTATCTCTAAGATTGACACCCAACATAATGATATTTACCATCTGACAAACATGTCATGTCAACAAATGGAAAAGTCAGCCATCTATTAATTATGTTAATTATTGTGCCTTTAGAGCAGGGGAGCTTTTTACCCCAAAATACCATACTTTTACATTACTGTAAAAGTTATTGAAAAACTGTTGCTTCAATTATCTTAAACAAAACTGGGATTCATTAAGAAGACCTTTCTCTCAAAATATATCCAATAATATATCCAATAAACGCTGGCGCTACACTCACTGATCACGAGACTGATTGCTTTTTGTCATGTAAACTACATCATGTTATATGCACATGTGTGTGGGACAGAGGGGAACATATATAAATATAAAAATTATAGGCTAATTAAACTTTATTTGGAGTACTACTTGTGCACAATGGACATTTCTCAATATTAAGCCTAAAAGTATATCAGTATATCTTTAGTTGGACGTCAGCACTACTTTCTTACAATTAAAGTGCATTAAGTACAAAATTAATTGTTCCAGTTTAGCAGACCTTAAGTATACCAGTTTAATAATATGTAAATGTATTTGTAGTATACTTAGCATGAAATAAATGTATTTCAAGTACATTTTTGTATATTTTTTTTCACTAGGGAAGGCATCTGTAAAGGCTTTTCAATCGCCCATTGGCCAAATAGTTAAGTGGCTGTCAGGGATTACTATTTTAGTCAAATTAATCACATTCAATTAACTAATTTGATATAAGGACTTTTTATGTGATATTTTATTTTATCACAATAGATTGTTATTTGTTTTAAACTCATTAATGTAATGCTTTCTTCATATTTTCATCAGATGTGCCCATGTTTTTATATATGAAATGAAATAAAACATTGGTGCCAAAAGAAAAATTAGAATTTTTTTCTGAATAAATGTTAAAATAGTGTTCAATAAGTATACTGTCATCCATGTGTGTACAAATTTTTATTATAAACAATTGAAATCAGTACACAAATTCAGATCAAACTATGGTACATTTTTGTTTTGGCCCTCCTGTAAAGTTGGTGAAATGTCACTTATGCCCTTCTGGTTCTCACCCCTCTTAGATATTTAGCCTTAGATACCTGAAGAAGTTATTGTAACACATGACATGCACTTTCTTCAAGTAATTTGGGTAAGAAATTGTCTGCCAAAAATAAATGTCTATCACTTACACAGCAATTACAATATGCCAAAGTTTGAAGCTAAAGCTGTAGGGTTGCACTGTTTTGTATTGTATTTATTTATTTCTATTATTTTTTTTAACTAAAAACAAGTAGCACTTCCAAAATTTTATCATGATCTGTTCACTGTTCAAAGATTTCGGTGTAAATTTAACCCTACAGTGCAGTCGTGTGTTTTTACGCAGCTGTGTCTTGGTTTTGCTCTCATAGAGGTGTTACAGAGCTCAGCGTTTCAAATCTTCACATTACACTCCCTGTCTTTTCAGAAACTATGAGCGTTACTTTGTGAAGGCTCAACAAATGCGGCGTCTTATCGCTGAAGATTTTAAAAATGTGTTCCGCTCTGGCATTGACGTTCTCCTGACACCCACAACGCTGAGCGATGCGGCACGCTACTCTGACTTCATACAGGAAGACAACCGAACACGCAGTGCTCAGGAGGATGTCTTCACCCAGCCTGTCAACATGGCAGGTATGCACAGGAAGTGGATTTGAGAGAGAAATTACTCTGCTTAATTCCAAGAAGGTTCCATAGAGGTGCATCCTTTGCATGTCCTTGAAGGAAATGTGCAAATGTGATTTGTATCACCTGATTTGACAGGCGAAATAACCTTGCTGAGGTCAGTCGGGGAGTTTTGCGTGGCAACAATAACCAAGAAGGGCATGAGACCTCCAGCTAAATGTGACCCTCTGAGTAGGGTCTTTTCCTGAAGCAGTATAAACAAATTCACAATTGAGTTTTAATGGATCAATGAACCGACCGACAAAACAAAATCCATTCATCTTTTGCTAATCTTTTCTAAGCCAAAATAAATCCTATGTATGTGTGTATTTGGGATTCAGTGTATTTACAGTACATGATCTTCACACACAGGTTTGCCTGCTGTCACGGTACCAACAGCCCTCTCACGCCGAGGTCTTCCCATCAGCCTGCAGCTGATTGGTCAGACACTACAGGACTGGAAGCTGTTGACAGTAGCCCACTGGATGGAACAACAAGTCAACTTTCCATTGATCCATTTGCATGGAGACTCAAATGAGAGAAAGCTGGACCGATCAGTCCGAGAAAGGACACCCACAATAGGATCATAACCAAAATGCAAAGACTGAACAGGTAGAGTTCAGAGGAAGTGAAACCTATGAGAGTTACATTTGGTGTCTTACTGTCTAGGTACATAAGAAGTGAGAATGTGAGTGTAAATGCTGTATCAGCGCACACTGGATCTATATGACACTGTCTCTACTTTGGACTGTGGTCTGTATGATTCATTTTTCTTCATTTGATCAAAATACAACTTGCATCTATTCTGCAGCATTGGCATAAGTGGAGTCACTGAGTTAAACTGACTAGTAGTGCTATATATATCTGTGATCTTGAAAATTAGCTCCTTGTAAACCTTACACCATAGTAGCAGATATTGTAAAAGCATGAAAACAATTCAGGGAGGGAAAACTTGAATGAAGGTAAAATAATCATCATCTATACAGTCAGACAATACTTGTAGTCTGAGAGAATGGTTGTAGATTTCCTAATCCACTGTTTGCACGACAACCAAAACAACGAACCGCATTTGTGGTGTGCAGTTTAACCACGCTCTGAAAGTGCACGCATCCTGTTTCTAACAAATGACAATAGCTTTTTACATCGGAAATGAGCTTCAGTTATGTACAGAATGTGGAGTCGTTATTTCTAATTTCTTTTTATGGCTAAGGTTATTAACTGAATAAAGAGTGCTGGTGTCTTTCCATCAAAAGTCAGGTTGTGATTCATAATATATATATTTTTTTTATATTTTAATCATCTTATTCTGTTTGCCTTAAGATTCTTGTGTTGATTGTGTTGAAATCATTAATCACATTTTGGTAAGTTATGGTTAATTTAGATCGTAGTAGTGTGTTGAGTTGTTCGGCATACAATCACAATAATGTGCTGATAATCAACACTGATAAACAATGTCTACACACATGTGAAAGAAAGTAAATTACAGATATACCCTGGGTTAAAGTTTAAGTATCTTTTGAGCTCTGTAACTTTTAAAAATGCTTATGAAAATCTTAAAAGAATTCTACAAAATAACAGAATGAAAAGTTCATCTTTAACTTAATCTTTAAAATTAATGCAGTATATTATATGTATATATACTGTTCAAAAATTTGGTGTCATTAAGATTTTTTTTTACATTTTCGAAAGAAATCTCATGTGTTCACCAAGGCTGCATTATTTGACCAAAACAGTAAAAAAACAATAATATTGTTAAATAATATTACAATATAAAATCACTGCTTTCCATTTGAATCATTTGAATTTTAAAATGTCATTTATATCTGTGATGGCAAAGCTGAATTTTCAGCAGCCATTACTCCAGTCTTCAGTGTCACGTGATCCTTCAGAAATCATTCTAATGCTGATTTTGGTGCTCAAGAAACAATTTGTCTTATTATCAAAGTTAAAAACAGTTGTGCTGCTTAATATTTTGTGTATCTGCCATTTCTGGCTGCTGCCTCTTGTAATGTAACTGTTCTAAGTGTCAGAACTGTTCTCATTGGCCTGGAGAGAGAAAGACAGTGGTGCTAATGAAATCACACACAATCTTCACGGTGCAGTCTGAAAACACCTGACCACAACACACACACACACACTGGCCCAATACATGTTACAGTACTTCTTCAGTCATTAGTCCTGAAAGGCTGCTCATTGGTTCGTTACAATTGAATATGATTCTCTCAGTAGCACAACAGGAAGCTGATCTAATTTAATCATTGAAGCAGTGCACTCATATCCATCTCAACCCAATGAACTGGCCATCTGTGGGCCCTCGGTGTCAGAAGAGTGAATGTACACACATACATATCACATAGTTTTTCATCCCACACTGGAGTTTTAAATCTATATGAGCCACTAACAGCTGCTCTGTCACTAGCTAGATCTTTTCTGTTTATTTCAATGTGAAACACAGAAAACCAGATATTCTCAGTCTTAACAGAGATGAATTAAACTACACGCAGACGTGAGCACATCACCCCAATTCTCTATTCCCTCCACTGGCTTCCAGTTTTGTTTAGAGTTGATTTTAAAATTTTATTTTTTGTTTTTAAAACTGTCAATGGCCTCGCCCCACTTTATGGGTTAGTTCACCCAAAAATAAAAATTAGGCTGTGTTTTACTCACCCCAGAGCCATCCTAGGTGTATATGACTTTCTTCTTTCAGACAAATCCAGTCGGAGTTAGATTAAAAATTGTCCTGGCTATTCCAAGCTCTATCATTGCAGTCAGCGGGTGTTGCAGTGCTTCAGTCCAAAAGAAGTGAAATAAAAAGCGCCCATCCATAAAAAAAAGTGTCTCACACGGCTCCGGGGGGTGAACAAAGGCCTCCTGTAGCGAATCAATGCGATTTTGTAAGAAAAATATCCATATTCAAAACGTAATAATCACTTTAATCTAGCTTGCGCTCACTGTTGTAAACGGAAGCAGTTCCGGGCAGATGACGTATGAGGTCGACATTGCGCATAAAATTTTTTATCATATTTATTTTTGGAATCATAAACACACAATTATATTGTTTAATGAACTATATTATACTAGTTATTTGCCTTTAGTGGCTAATGAATAATGATTTTAGGCCCAGTGGGCACAGATGTTATTCATAACAGTTAGTTCTCGCTGCTTTTTTTCACTTCTTTTCTCAAAGAGGCTCAAATTAGTACTTAACTTGCAACAGGCCAAAACAAAACCACATCCATCAGTGACATCAGTGTTGTAATATTTTAGACTTCACTTCAGCATGTCCTTCTGTTTTCTTTAGAACAGATAGTGATCAAATTCTTTTTTTTTTTTTAATTAATGTCAGTATGTGAAATAAAAACAGCTGGCCTGCTCAGGTCACCATGATGACCCTAGGAAGGTTTGATAGAGAGGATGAGCTCCTCACCAGTAAAGGTACATTTATTTTCTCGTGGACGAAATACAGTCATTTCAATAGGAATCCGTGTGATTGGAAGATTCAACAGAGGGTGAAAATGTTCCATCCACACAGATTTCAGTCATTCTAATTAGTCGTGTTGACCAACACAAAGCTGCTTCTGCGTGGCCAGTGATCCCTACGTTGCTATTCTAAATACATTGACCTTTATCAGTGCTAATGTTACCGCACCTTAACACTATGTCTACACCAGGCACGTCTGCTGACTCTATGCAACGGCTGTCTACACTAGATGCGTCAAAGTGAATGTTCCAAATCCATTTGTTTTGTTGTCGCAAGTAACGTAAGCACACATATTGTGTTTGAAATAGAATAGGCGCTATATGCGGCACATCTGTTGTAGACAGCATCATTGATTATAATGGGTTCTATTTGTTTTTACAACTCGTGTCCCATTCACACCAAGAACAGTTACTATAGAGTTCACACCAAAGCACAATAACATGTTTATTCTAAGCGCACGCTGCAGTTATGTTGTCTGCCATTTGAAATTCTCAAACTCTTTAAAGCAGGATAGATTAAGAATTCATGTTCATCAGCTTTTAAAAAAAAACGTTATGCAATTGATTTCAATGATATAATCTGCGCTGTTAACGTTACTGCTGTGGTATCCTCATAGAATTAGAATAAGTATTAAACTTTATAGGTATCGTTACATTTATTGTCCTTGGTTTGAATAGTCCTTAACTGAGATGTTGTCTGACTGAGCTACAATTGTTTTCATTTACACTAACCACAGATTAACCATGTAACTTTTCACTTCTTGTCAGAAATAAGGAGGTTATAAATAAAGAGAGAGAGAAAAGCAGTCTCTGTAAGAAAAGAAATTAGTGAGTTTTTGCATACAGCTAGGCTATCCATCCTATGGCCAATATAGGTGGTCAACTGGGCTGGTCTGTAATAAATGAGCAGAACTACTGACATAGAGATGCTCTGAACAGAATAAAGAAAATAAACTGTTCAAGGCCCATTATTGATGACTTCAGTCAACACAAACAGTGTTCTGCCTTCACGTTTACACAACAGACTGAAAGATAGCTTCAAAGAGATAGAGGGAGGGTTACAGACGCTCTCATTCATGTCTGTCAGGTACAGAAGGTATAGATGCTGGTCTGTACTCTCAGCGCAGGGACAAAACACCCTTATTGTTCTGGTTTATTCTCAAGAGAGTTTCAGATGTTGGCTGCATCCGAAAGCTCTAAAATACTGCCTTCGGAGGACACATTCCAAGGTAGAAGGGCATCAAGGCATGTCCAATTCCAAAGTTAGCTTCACTTCCTGTCTCATGAGATACCTTCATCTGATTTTTGAAGGCAGCATAGATGTATCCTACACTGCCTTTGATATCCCGTGCGTTCTATTCCACGATGGTTGAGCTAAAAAATAAAGATGGCATCTGAAAGTTGCGTTTGGTGGTCAGTTTGTGTGTAGATGTATATTTCTGACTAACTTTTTGCACTTTTGATGTTAGTTCTAGCAAGAAATCAGTATTATAGTGATTAAATATTCATTTAGTTATCACCAAAATTCGTTCTATTTTGTTGTAGATCATTAAACCATTACGCTGCCTCAGAAGCCTGTCCGAAATCAGTTTCATGAGGTGCCTTCGTGCAAAAACGCTGCCTGCAAAGTCATTGCCTGATGATTTTCATGTTTTCCATGAACACACTAATAATAATACTTTTCCTGACTTTTTGTTTGTAAATTTGTCATTATACACAAGCATCATTATGAAAGGGCCCAAAAGATAAAACATGACCATTGTCACACATTACCTGCTTTTGTTATCAGACAAAGGAATACTGTACACTTACTGCTGTATCTACCATTGTTTTCTTCATAAAATGCATTCAAATATAGAATCTAGCAGTGTTGTTTTACTATTTATTATATAATTTTTTATTATCTACCAAAGTATTCATTTGAAGCTTTAATTTTTAGATTTTTTACATTTGACCTTTTAGTATTTTTTAATATGCTTTTGAAATTTTTATTAATTTTTGTTCTTTTAAATATATCTACATAGCTTTTTTTAATTTATTTTTTTATTATAGCTTTATAAGTTCTTCATCTAATATTTATTTTCATTGTTTTCTTCATAAAATGCATTCAAATATAGAATCTAGCAGTGTTGTTTTACTATTTATTATATAATTTTTTATTATCTACCAAAGTATTCATTTGAAGCTTTAATTTTTAGATTTTTTACATTTTACCTTTTAGTATTTTTTAATATGCTTTTGAAATTTTTATTAATTTTTGTTCTTTTAAATATATCTACATAGCTTTTTTTTATTTATTTTTTTATTATAGCTTTATAAGTTCTTCATCTAATATTTATTTTATTTCAGCTTTTTTCAATTACTGAAATCGAATAAGTAG